TAACATGAAGAAGGACAGTTCATTTGCAAGCATGGATAATCTTCCTGCACGGGTCCTTGCGTCAACTTGAATACCTGGCACTCTATTTGGCATGAATTTTAATTCTGGAACATAATTATCTTCAGTTGGATAACCTTCTTTCCAGTCTGAATCAGCTAATGTTGTTGAGCTTGAGGCTGCTTGCCTTACTGGAGATGAAGTTTTCCTTCTGGCTATGAGCCTTCGTTGTTTTTTCAAAGGAGGCTTCTTTTTGGAAGAAACTGAAAGCTCATCCTCCCTATCTTCATCAGAGCTGTCTTCGTTGTCGTTTGGTCGCGGCCTACTGACAACATCAGAGCTAGCGGAGCTACTTTCACTTAGATCTCCGTCTGAATCATATTCTGAGGTACTTAGGTCACTGGACGAAGACATTTTTCACAAAGTTTAGGCCTGTAACAGTAAAAAACTCATTTTAGAACTGAAATCTACAAATTTATGCAAATAAATCGAATTTTAAAAATTCTGAAAGGTTCTGCGATCAAACGTTATTTTACCTTCAGTATAAAAGGAATAAAACAAGGGCCTAAAACACATAAAAAGCCAGCAAAATGTACGATAAAAACACTAACCTGAGTCGGGATAAACAGTCAGCTGATATTCCTCTTGAGAAAATTCGGATTTTTTGATTCAACAGTAAAAATAATTCGCAATCTGTATCGATAAAAACTTGGTATCATTTGAAAGAGCAAAGCACGGGTAGATGAAAAATAACATGCCTCAGTTTGAGGTGGGAGATAATTCATGATAGTTCTCCTCCGCATATAACAGGCATATGATTTCTCCTCCGCTTAGCCTCATAACCTCGGTGGAGAGGCAAGAGACTATTGTCACAGTGCTATTGTTCTACTCGTAGCTCAATTCTGTGTAGTAAGTGGGAAGACTATTGACATTGACCTTCTTTGTCACTTATTGAAATTTTCTTCATTTATTTCTAGTTCTTATCAGTTATTCCGCATCAATACACTTGACATGAAAGCACCAATTGGAAAAATCGAGGGGTACAAATCACTCCATGAAAATCTTGTACACCTTTCGTGGAAATCCCATTGTTTTTTCTGAAAATCTTTGGATATCCTTTTGTTTATTGGAAATCATTGGTCCTTGGGAAAATTAGTATTAAAGTCTTTGGGAATTGGGGATAGATAAAATATGCCCACCCTCCCAACAACCACCGTAATTGGTTTTGCTATGAGAAAATGTTTCTGCCGCCACAAACATTAGTGAGAAGAGATACTGGATGTTAAAACTGGAGTAACACCTTATGTATCTTTCTGTTAGACAGGGTTTCACATATAAAGCACACAGTACTCAAGAATAGAGATACCAAGCTATGAGGCAAACTGTTATCTAATGATGACAAAAACAGTAATCTAATAAAACATTTCCTTCTACATAAGTTTTACAGAAAGCAAGATAGTTTTCCTTTACAAGTAATGTAACAGTTGCTAACCTTACAATATCATTGTTTAAGCTGAATATATGATTTGAAATCAAGTGCTAAATACCTTGTAGTGAATGCCCCAACAGATAGAAATTTTATCAATTGGTTGCTGATAAGGGCAAAAATAAGTGTCTGCTGCCAAAAGGAGTCCAAGTTAAAGGTTAAGACCATATCAGTTTTGATCATTATCATTACTTTTCATAAATTGTGCTTTTGAATTGCAGCTAAACTTTTATAAAAGAAGTATTTAGTGGATTTGGGAGAAGGCTAAAAAATTTTCATTGAAGAAGCCTACTTTAACAAGTCATGCTTATTTCGTAACGCAATGTTGTGACCAATACAAATTGTTAAAACTGATTTGGTCTGACTTAAAAATTACTCAAAAAGAAACAAGTATACTAAAACCATAAGTACTTTAGCCTACAAATGTTATTTAAAATTCTATTTCTTCTTTGTACATTCATTGCAAAACCATTGAAGATGCTTTTTAACAAATACTTCTGTCGGTATGCGTTCACACATTCTGTGAAACCACTGGTTACACTTGCAGCATTCAACCATATGCCTGTTGAAGTATTTATGCAGTATAAGTTTATAATCATAAACAATTGTTTGAATTTTGATCTGACAGTACAGTTCAATTATTTTCAAAATGGAAAACATATTTAATTCAATCAAGACTGAAATATACAAAAAATGTATGTTTGGTTACTGTTGTAAACAACAGTAATTTATTTTATAATTATGTATCAACTTGGCTATTTACTCTGAAAAATTGTAGCAAATTGTGTATTATCACTCATTTCTAAAATGTTTTTTATTGATTTTTTCAGGATGGTAAGGACTTTTTACAACAAAAATGCAGCATTACTTTTAAATTTTCTTTACAACAAATGGTAAAGAATAACATACCTGCAAAATGAATTGTTGTCTGATGGAACCCAACACATACGACAATTACAATGTAGCTGTATCTCAAATTCTTTCTGGACACATCTACGTCCTCCTTTGTTCACCAAAGGGAATTCTTCCAATCTGTTTGCTGTTAAGGCTCTTAATAGGTGATGCCTCATCAATATTTGGTCAAAAGTCACATCAATTGGATATTTTTTGTTTTTAACATAATAAAAAATGAATGCCAATGCATAAATCCCACAGTCAACACCATTTGTCTGTTGCTGAACAGGGAGAACTTTAATTTTCAAACTTTTTTTCTCAGAATGCAAAATAGAGCATATTTGTTGCTTTACTTTTTCAGAGATTCTTCCCCGAAATAAACTATCCATATAATAAACCTCTCCTGGTTCACAGTCATATGTGCTAATGGCAATCCAATGATAATTTCCATCATGTAGTATCTGCACAAATGGCTTGCTTTGATAAATGCTAAAAGAAAATTTTTGACCAAGAATTGGATCCTGCAGCCCACCTGTTTCTGGATATTGGCGTGGATCATTCCTTGGTATACATGTATAATTGTATCATTTAGCATCTCATGGTCTGAAATGGACTTCAAGTCAGCTTTTGTCAAATGCTGTCTCAGTGTCAGCCTTGTTTGCTGTGATGTTTCTTCCTCCTCACCATTATTCAACATATCATTGGCTCCAGGCAGCACTGCCTTGGTGCTAAATTCCTCATCACCAAGCAGCCCTTGCTCGTTTTGAATTAATACTTCCTCGGTAGTATTCTGCTTTTTTCCGTTCTCTGAGCTGATGGCAATTTTTGACGCCTTAACATATTTTTCTCTTTTCTCCCCAACTCTTCCACCAAAGGGACACTTTCTCTTCCTTAAAGAGAGACTTTTCATTTTGATGGTGTTCTGTTTTTTTTCGAATTGTTGAAAAACACTGGGTCGCAGGAGAATGCCCTTTTCTTTCGGAACCCAGCTATATAGCATCTCTCTTATTTCCGAAATTTTTTCATTAAGTTTGCCAAGCAACTCGGGTTTGTTTTCTATTAAGAACGTCAGTCTTCTTATGTCCGTCAGGGTATCACGAATTTTGGGACCTGTAGCATGCCCCCCAGACTCTTTCGTTTGGCCTGCATCAGTGTCAGATGTCATATTGCTGTCCTTCTTTGTATCAACGGCTTTATTGTCGAGCAGCATGTATTCTTTGACCACATTTCCTCCTGCAATTTCCATTTCATCGTCATCTGTGCTTTTTTCGTCTTCATCTGGTGATATCAAATTGTCGTTTTGAGAAGATGTTGAAATTTCTTCGCTTCTCATCACTGGAAAGTCGAACGTTTCATCCAAAATTAGAAAAACTGAATTTTTGTACGATGTGGGTAACGCTTCCCACGACCAGGCCGGATAATGTTCAAAAACAGCAAAGAAATGCTTGCATGGGTAGGCTGACGTTCGCCAGTCATAGCAGCTGCAATGAGGCATGTTATTTTCATCTCCAAAAAGCAAAAGATGCGGTTCTAATGTCACTGGATTCGTACTTTTCAGATGAAACTCTCCATTTCCAACAATTTTTATAGAGCTTTTGCTAATTGACTCAGCTGCAGAATTTCGTTCCATGCAATGGCGAACCATGCTGTGCGGTCGATTTTGCAAATATAGAGGAATATCATTGGCATACCGTCTATAATTCGAGTGAAACTTTAAATTCATTTCTCGATACCTGAAAAAAGAAATGTGTAATAAATTAAGATTCTCTTTGATTATGAAAACTGTCTCGTATGAGCACAAATAATGGAAAAAACGTTTTGGCCACAGTACGCATCCGATTTTACTCGTAATCATTAGCTTACATGAGCTATACCATAAACAATACTCTAGACTCGAATATTTTCTCTTTGTACTGCTACTTCTATGATTACCTGAAAACAGCTTACGAAATGGTTTTAGAGAATTTTCGAGACATGTTGATGTCTGATGTAAAATATGAAAGATATCACACTATTTAGGCAATATCTTCATCACTAGTTTTGATGCGTCCCTGGTGCCACAGCCCAAAAGTTACTTTTTCCTAATTTTGGTTTCAAGTTTTGTATCTTTTTTTGGCCTTGGCACCCGGAATGGTCTGATCAAACGTTACCCTCATTTCATGACACCTTGTGTAGCTAAATCATACATTACATAATTTTCTTGTAAAGCATCGCCCAAAACTTACTTTTCATATTTGTCCACAAAAAAATCTTCGACAAGAATTGATAGCATTCCGGTGACAGATGTGCGACTATGCTTCTGCAAGTATTGATACTTAAAGGATTCGTTTTGCCGCTCTGTGCCATTATTTGTATTGCAGTTGAGTAGAAGTCTCTCTTGTCGATATGCCCAAATCCATCTCTTGAATAAGAATTGGAAAAAAATGTATGCCTACATCATGATTTTGTGTATCTTATCAATCGTTTTCCCGTTTTAAAAAAATTAAGGATACCCATATTCTCTGTACTCAGAGAAATCCACACAATGTTTGGTATAACCTTCTTATGGAATAAAAGTTCTTTTATAAATCAATAACATTATTATTTTACTGAAACAACTTGTGAAAATTCGTTTCAAATCTACGAAATATGTGCTGAAATTCCAAAATATATGGATATGCAAAGAATGATAGATGGATATGCAAAAAATTGTACATGAACCACTTGTAGTCTGTACATTAACTTCGATATATACATTAACTTCGTTTCCACTCTTATCCCTTCCTTTATTTAAGTTATTGTAGATTTGTATTTGTGATTGTTAGGTCGGAAGAAGCCTCATAAGCCAAGACGAAATACCAGCTCATTTATATGATCAATACTTAATCTAAAAAACGGTCGCCTTTTCTTCTGTGTTCTTTTGCTCTGCCTTCCAACATTTTATTCCTTACCTTCTTTATGGAAAGCCAGTATCTCTCAATGTAATCCACCAGACCAGCATACGCCTTGTCTTCCCAATAAACAGACCTCTTCAAAGCATCAATTGCTCTTTCACTTTCTGCAATTGAAATGGATCTCGCTATCCTTCTAAGTTTAGACAGCACATCTTCCTTTACTCCTCTGCAACCATTCGCGCATTTTGACAACCATCTGCGGTTATATCACTACGGTACAAGACGATCCGTTTGTCAGGAGAAAAAGGTTGAAGACTTTGCCAAATAATGTTCGAGAGGCATAGAGTTCATAAAAATTACAAAGTCGTATGAAATGGCTTGGTACTGAATATATTAATGGATACCGAAGGCACAATCACTCCCAGAAGTCTTGGAACACTGACGTCACTTTTCAAAGGAAGGTTCAGCCACCCCCTCTCCCCCTAAAAACAATATCGATTTACTATAGAAAAAAGGAAGGAGTTGTGGAGTACGCTTTTTCGTGTGTCTTGTATGATATGTTTCTATACTTTCAACATTGTTTTAGAGAGAAAGGGGGACGGAAGTAGTTGTATTCGGGAAAACAAATGAAAAATAGAAAAGCACAGCGCAAAGCGTTGGGTGTTCCAATTTTGGTCGTGATTGTACATACATTCTGATACCAGTCATTGGTAGATTGGGAGAAATGGGAAGCTACAGAAACTGGTTCTTGAGCTGGAAGTCAAAGATGCTCCTCAATGCAATAATTATTGAAAAGTTGTGTTTTATCAGTTGAGGTCTTTAAAATGTATTTCAAGGTTATTGCCACTTTAATGCAATTAATAGCAAGGCCATTGACTGATTTCGTCAGCGTTTCGTTAGGCTCACGTCAAAGTTAAGCTCCGTTTAAAAGAGAAAAGGCTAACACAGATAAAAAACAACTGTGTTTATTGACTTCTGTATGTAAATAATGCATCGAGGAAAGATAAGGGCGTTATAAGCCTTATAAGTTAACAATAGCAGACCCGCAGTGTCCTGCGCAAATTTGCGCCCTTTGACGCAGAGGCATTAAAATCGATTCATGCATTCATGCTTTGGTAGTGTTCAATCCTGCACCTTTTGAAATATCCTAATTCATATGCATGGATGATAATGTGATCTTTCACGTCTTCAAGCCATATTTGGCTTTGTATGTCACGTGGTAAAGAATCAAAACAATAGTTACTGTTCGAAGGCGCGAAAAGTATCACGTCAGCAGAAGACCAGTTGAAAAACATTTTGCTGCCGCTAATCGTGAGTGAGGAAGGGAAAAGGTATGTTTCTTGCTATTTTTTATACTTTTGCTTCAAAAATACATGGTTAGAAATTAGCGATGAATCCCCAACGATAATCAAAGTCCAGGGAATATTAGAATGTTACTTTTTCAAACGAATGCTAAGCATGCAGGGTGCGTTTCATTTTTAGTGTGTGTTGAAGAGCCTCGAGTCATTACTGTAAACTGAAGTATCGCCCTCTGAAATTATTTAGCTACAGTGAACAATTCCAAGCATTCTTGATGAACTTTTAGGCAGTCAACTAACCAAGGAGGAAACCGGGAGTAACAACTACACAAATAATTACAGCGCCTTTGCTACTCATATCAGCCTACAACGAAACAAAACATAGCATGAAATTGTGGACATCAAGATAGCTGGAAGCTTCAAATCAATGTTCCGTTGTTAAACTCGGGTGTTTTGATTGTAAAATAAAATGCCTTGGGGATGTTTTCTATTATTTTTCTATTCAAAATTACATAATATTCTATCAGAATCGTTAATAGTTCTAAAATATTCTCCTGACAAATCTAGGTATAGCGAATCGAATTTTCTTTGAAAGCAATTGTTTGTCTCATTAGAAATTTCCGAAAAACGAGTGATTAAAACAAGACAGAAATTCTAATTGGATTCTCTTTACATTTCTATTTCAAGCTCGCACTTGCCTTTTCAAAGAATTGAATATAATCATACAATTCAAAGCGGTACAAGTCCCGGGAAACTATAGTTTAACAAAAGCACGGTGTAAAAGCTCCTGTTCGAGTGTGAATTTCATTAATACTTGACAGAAATCGATTGATTTTATGCAATAATGAATCTTAAACGATTTCCTGCAGAACAATATTTTATTGTGGAATTGACCTAGGCAAAGCGCCTGTGCAGCTACTATCAGGCCGTTGCAACCAATCAAATACAGCAACGATGAAGCTCCGTGATGGATACTCAACAAACATAAGCCAGGCTGAGCCGATATAATTTTGATAAATTTCAGTTATTTTAAGATGATTTAGACATAATTCACGATCTTACCATGAATAATGAAAGCCTATCTCCAATTGACTGCTGGCAGTCTTGAATTTAATATGCTTTTTACAGGATAGCCAATGTGTTTTTGCCTTAAAAATGAGAAATTTTGTCCCTTGCTAGAGTAACAACAATGGCTGATAACGAGGAGATGCCAAGAAAACCAAGACACTGCTCTTACAGTGCAGCTGACGAATACTTAGTTGACTCGAACGAAAAGAGGCTTGACAGAAGCCTATCCGAGAACGATGTCGACCCTGGTGAGCATTGATAGTCACTCTAATATCTGCCTCTCCCCTCTAACTCTTTTGAATGCTTTCTCTGATCCTCTCGGTTACTAGTTTAGCATTTGATTTCTCATCAACATAACCGGACAAAATGCTGCTATTCCTTTCAGAAAAATCTCCTTTGTTATTTTTAGACAGCTTGGGATTGGAAATTGATACTTTTAGCCCAATCTCCAGTGAGAGAAAGTCTTGCAAAATTTCGCTGCGAAATGCTTCACGCGAAAAATGTTTTTGTTGACCTCCCGACGTTTGAAGGTAAAGTTTGACAAAGCAATACGGATTATCACTGGAGATTCGGCTTTAGTATGAAACATGCATTGTAATTGCAATTTCTCATTGCGATTGACTCTGTGATAATATTTTCATAATGTTTTAAGAAGTCACTTGACGTAGGTTTATTGTTTTTTGTTAATTGCCAAACATTTCATTCATCGGTGTCAATCATGTAAAAAGGCAGTGGTGACCGGTGTGGGTGAACCAAGGTGAAGCCTCCTTGCAACAGGTGCAGGAAAAGCACCTTGAGTCTCCTTTGCGCTATCTGTCTTTGATATTTCCTTTTTTGGATTGAATCAGTTATATGAAAATTTGATTTGCTTCCTTTTTTATAAAATTCAAGGAAACAAATTTTTACTCTCCAATTTAGTTCACATTTGTTTTGCCCTCATTCCAAATTAAAACAAATTATTTGTCAGACCTGAACCATCAAACATGTTACAGCTCTTTTATAGCATCCTAATCCAACCTTAAAGCGACATCATGAATGGCACTTGGTCCTTTATGAGCAAATTTTTAGTTCTTTATCGGAATGACGTGACAATGAAAAGTAACTTTTCAAATGTTAGTTAAAAGCACCTTCCAATGACTGGAAAATTTCTCGATTTGTACCTTTCTTCCAAACTTATCATTTTATTGGTTAGTATGCATATGTTCTACACCTGTCCTTGCACCGGAGAAAAGTGTACCATTTAGTGATCGGTGGAAAACTTTGCGCTCAGTCCTATTTGTGAGAAAAATAGCGCTCTTTAGCAAATAAAAATAAGATAACTTACATTATTCGTAGGTGATTCCAACTACCCAGTCCGATTGGACATAATCATCAAGCCAGCTTTGAAGAGCCCACCAAACATTCCAATGTCCCCTGTCAAACCAGCACCCGCAACAATACGATGTAAGCTAGCAGAGGAACGAAGGAGAGTAAGTACTCACCGCTTTATTCACCAGTTAAAAGCAAAAAAATCGATGGCAAAGCAAGCACGACTTTACAGAGGTCACCTGGTATCGTGACCTCTGACGTACCTGAAGAAACCTTTTACCATGTCAATGTATATCGATAAACAAGATTTCTCCGTGTCATATGACAACGATATAGCTAAAAATGTATCAAAACTTGGCTTCAGACAAATGAACCAAAAATGAAAGTTCAAAATTTTCTTTCTCTACTCTGCGCTGTAAATGTCTACTCCACTGGTTTGGTTGTTTTCAACATGTGCCGAACTTTTAATTTTTCTTATAGAGTCTTGAGCTAGAAGTTGTACAAAAGAGAAAGGAACACGATGAAAAGATACAGATTGCACAGAAAGTAAAACAAGAGTCTGATGAGCAAAGACAGAAGGCCATCAAAGACCAGTATGAAAAGAAGATTAAGTCTAGCGAGGAGCTGTTGGCAGCACAGAATCAAGAGAAGTCCAAGAAGGCGGCGGCCAACAACAAAAGACTGGAAGAGGCAAGAAAAATACACGATGAAAATATTGCTGCAAAAGTAAAGGACGCTGAGCAAAAACTTGCTAAGACTATGGTAAGTTATTGCCCGCTTTCACTTTGCCTTGTAAAACTGATCTAATCATCTAGAAGCCTTTTTTGAATATCTCCTAGGTATTTTTGATCAATATAAGCCAATCAATAGGCGTGCGAGTGAAATCAAGCACACTGATTGGCCAGTTGTTGATTGGTAGTTGGCTGAGGCCTCTTTGCCATTCTTTGAATTTTACCCAAAAGTCTTGTTGGAGTTCAAATGTTCTTTTCTATTCTTGAAGCAATTTCGCGCGTGGTTTAAATAAAGGAAAGATCCAAAGAATGCCCCTATAGGTAAAAGTGAAGTATTAATGTTTTTGTTTCAGGTCTCCGAAGAAATTCGAGAGAAGCAAATACAGAAAATTGTCGAGAAACAACAAGACAACTTTAGAAAAATACAAGAAGCGAAGATGACCAGAGACCAACAGGAAAAAGAGATTGCGGAACAAAAACGCAAAGAGCTGGAAGAGAGGGATCTACTTGCTCAGAAAAAACGCGAAAGTTTCATTGAAAATCGTAAAGAAAATCTGCACAAGCAACTTGAACACGTGGGTATTGTGTTGGCAGAGAAGAAACGTGAAAAGCAGACGCAAGGATAACCGACTCCAAGTAGAAGCAAAACTTCAAACATTGTTATGCATTGACTATAGCAAATGAATAAGGATTCATGTTAGTTTATTAGTTACTAATTTTGACAATGTCTGTGGCACAACTTGTAAGCATGGTTTCAAATCTGCATAGACAGATATTTCTAGGATTGAAGTCTGCTCTGTCCTTCCAAAACCTTAAATCACTTCCATCGTTATTCTTTCAACCAAGTTGCCTAATTATTTTTTCAGACGAAAATTGAATTTCTTGATTGGTTTTTTGTATCTTGCACACAACTATACAATTACTTTGGCTCTTCACGTTTCACTTTGTTCTGTAATGGATGTCCTTCAGACCGGAGGCATTCCTTTTGCTAACTGTATATAGATTCGATAACCCAGTGCACTGTAGTATGTACCATGACAGCCTATGTATGCAAAGGCATTGTATGCGTATCATCGAATAACATCTTAATTTTGCCAGTGTTGTCTTTTCTCGCTGAATATCTCGCTTTTTACATTGTCTTAATGAATCAGACAAGGAACTGATTAAGTCAGCTAGTGTCGAATGTTGACAAGTGTTGCTTTTATTTTGACGAGTGTTGAATCGATCATCATTGGTAAATAGGACGCAGAAATTGCATTTATTCTATGTCTCTTGTTAAGCAGTGAGAGAAAAAAGCTAAGTGAAATTGCTTTCCTAAGCTTTGATGCAGCTATCTAGCAGTTGCTGTGGGCTACTATGGTGGAGGGAGGGGTGGTTTATTTATTTACCAGAATTTCTCCTTGCAATCTTTGACTCCCCTCTAGGATCCGATTTGCATGCATATCATATAGAAAGCTCTGTATTTAATAGAAAGAAGGCCAAAAAAAGAAAATGCCATATTCTTTGGCAATTAACGGGAACCCTGATGGACCAACAGAAACAATCTATGATTGAATAAATTGAGCAACTTTAAAAGGGTTTATCTTTATTTAAGAACATATAATGTGCTTAAATGTGACAAAATGTACACTTCCCTCACAAAAGTATTGCACCACCTTGTTCAAAATGGCGGCACTTTTTGTCAATATTTTGACAATACAAAACATTTGAATGCATGAATTGGGTGAAATAGGCATATTTTATATCAAATTTCGGCGGGAAAAGTTTGCAAATTTTGCTGACGCCATAGAAAACCTAGTTAGAAATGTAAATTTTACGGAAAAACATTATTGTTTGAAAAAATGTAGACCAGGCCTAAGGGAGAAAATTTGTCAAATGAGAGGCGAGTCCCTATATAATTTTTACAGGGAAGTGGTCTTCAGTTTTTGAAAAATTGTTGACCATGTTAGATGCAGCCACACAACAGCTTCAATAAATCAAAAAAGGTTTCACGAGAGTGCTTCAATATTAATAAACCGAGAAGTGGGTGAACAAAAAAAATTTACGTTGCAGGGGTGGCAATTTTGTCTGTTTTATTTCACAATGTTTACACCAAGGGACAGTAAAAGACATGAAGCTCGACGCTGAGCAATGTTTTGCAGCTCAAAATTCTTCCAAACAAAAAATAATGAGTGTCTTACACAAATATGAAATAAAAATTCACCTGCGCAAAAGGAAACCATTTTTACAACGATTTATTTCCGAACAAGAAGAATTCAAGTTTTTCCGTGGCGTCGTTCAAGTCCAGATTTGTACATCGTTGAAAATGTTTAGCTTCGTATGAAAAACAATCCGAACCATGATTTTAAAGGTTCTTGAAGAACCAAAGAATCGTTAATTAAAAGAATTCTTTAGGTTTGGAATGAAATTTCACAATAATACGTTGCCCAATTATATGCAACCAATTCAAGGAGGCATAAAGCGGTTTCAAAGTTCATAGCTCCCGTCAAAATATTAAAATTTGAAGCTGTTAAAAGACATTTTGAAACTGTTATTTTAAAAAAAGTTTTCTAAAAAGATTGAAGTTTTGATTGGTGGTTGTTTCACTTCCGACACACTCCCATTCGCCACTTAAACACAATCAATTCGCACAACAATAGCTTTCGATAATTGCTGCGCCATTTTCCCTCCTTCGAGGTGGTGCAATACATTTGTGAGGGGAGTGTACCTTCACTCCTCCTATTCTTTTTACCTGATAAAGAGTTGTGCTCGAAACATCGCACTTAAGTTTCATTCTTGTACAAAGTTGTTATTTCATTGTATGAAATTTTGCAGTCCTTGATAATGTTTATCAATACACATTCGCCTCCACAGAGGCTATTGCATTGTGTGAAAAGGTGGAGCTGCGGAAAATAGGCGGGGGAGAAGAGAAAAGGAATCGAAGCAGCTTTTCTCTTTCTCCCTCGCAGCTTCTCCACTTTTCTTCCACAGTTTTCCTTATCCTTTCCTTTTTCCCTTTGTAGCTCTGGGCGTTCCTCCGCTTCTCTCTTCTAATTGCACCTTCCTTGTGTAGCTCTGGCTCCCAGGGTATCTCGAGATATCCTTTTACCGTGTTACACGATTAGGATATACAAAATAGACCCTGTTGCACGCTGAACGTTTTACGAGAAACTTCTCTGCTATAGCATATAAATAATCCATACCACTGTGAAAAAATCGATAGAAAAAGCCGCCATTGTGTACTGTACACAGAAGAAGTCCGTTTTCTCTCTTGGACTCCAGTGGTAATTTTCCTTTAGGCACGCGGAACTGATTGGTCAACTATACGGATCTTGTGCTTGCGTTTTATACTGATTGGTCTATTTCGATTCACAACTGGGTATACATTTTTCATCGTGTTGTTTCAGACCCTTATTCTGACGTTTCATACTCTGAAGAGTGTCAGATGAATAAGCTTTTAGCAAATATGTTGTAAAATATTTTCTTATTTCAAAGCCATTTTCAAATTCGATAGAAAGAAAGTCTGATTTTACACCAATATGTGTTTGAAAATAGCGGAAACATATCAAGGAGGAGCGGAAACATATCAAGCTAAAGTACTTCTCGTCCGACACTCCTCAGAGTATAAACCTCTTAAATTGTTCTAAACTCGTGAGCAACAAAAAGTGTAAATTCGTTTGGAGTTCAGAGAAAAATTAAAATCTTTGTTGATGTATTACGTCATCACAAAACAAAACAAGAACAGTACAATAAATAAAGAACAAAAACATAAAGCATCATCTTAATTCCGTCTATTTCATCAGCTCACCAAATAAGCCAAAAAGTAAATTCTTAATGAAGCTTGAGCCTTCCATTACTCTTTTTAACTATTCTAAATTTTCAGCAAATCTGAGTCTCAATATTCTTATAGACTTCATTATGATTAAATAAGTGTAGAGTAGCTCTACAATTACATTAAATTCCCCTACGTTTCCCCTGGTAAGTGGTCGCAACAAAAATCAAATTTAAAAACGAACATCATGCCGTGCTGTTTGATTTCGTATGTGAACACCTACTAGAAAAAATTACAACATTCCCCCGTCACATAGTTAATCGACTTGCATAAAAACGATATACATTTTACAAGGTACCTAAAGACTGGTTGTCCTGAGATCAGGCTCGGACTAAAGACTGGTTATTTCTTACCGTATTTTCTCTTAATTTCACAGTCCGATCACATAGGCTTCCTCTCCCTTTCCAAACAAACAAAACAACGAAGACAATTTTTCTACGAAAATAAACGTTCTTAAATCGTGAGGGCGACAGCCCAAAATTCCAGTAGTGGTTTCCCTCCATAGCTAAGTATGTTTTCGAGACAAATGTAGACAAACCATGCAACATTGGCGGGATCTGATTGGACGAAAACGAAATTCCGCTATGCTGAGGACGACTGGATAGATTTTGTCTAACAGCCTCAGTTTTCTGCAGTCCGTTTCAACCAGGAAGAGGAGAATACAAGAAAAACACAAAAAAGGCGGCCTGTATGTCTGATGGTGTAATATATCATTTGGAATACTTGTTTAAGATGACCATGCACACGATAATTCCTGATAACAGCTGCCTTACAAGATGGAATATTGCAATCAAACTGAGGTTTACAGCTACAAACTTAACCCAATACGGTGATGTAATTCACTACCCAACAAAATCTCTGCTTCTCAAGACCGAATCATAATTGCGTCAACCACAACATTGCTCTCAATATACTTGTAAGCTGGCAAAAGAAAGAAACAGCCTTTCCTACAGGCGATTTGCCACTACTGGCCAAAGTCCTATTCGACATTGCTTCAGTTTCTACATGCAATAAAGAACTGAATTTAAGTCGCTCTATGTTCCTTAAAGGGAAGTATTCTATGCAGCGTACCATTCTATGATGAACCGTTGAAAGTGATGATAAAGGCGGCTGTTTCTTGCCTCGGCAAAATACAATGCTAGAAACAAATTGATAAGTCCAAAACTAACTGATGATAATCAATGATGATGTAAACGTTTTTGCAAGCATAGTTTCTGTGAACTTTTGGCTAAATCTCAAGTTCAGTTTGCTCCAGCTTCGATCTCTCCGTTGACGTGCTCTTGAGCTGCAACTTCTTCTCCTTTCTCCTGCTCCCCTTTCTGGCCATCTTTTGGCTGCCTCTTCCTTATATTTCTGTTTCTACGACGTCTCTGGTTACGAGGCTTTCCTTCATCCTGAAGCAGACGAGCACATAACTTAAAAGTCACAGCGAAAAATATTTCTAACTTTGCTTTTTAAATTCCATTGGTCAGAGAATTTATAAAGATCAGTTTTGAAACTATACGCCAAAAAAGCGTAAAAATTCTCAGTTTGTTTATTTCTAAAATTCCTTACACAAAAAACCCCATCAAAGTACATTACAACCACTTGTATATCACAAGGATTATACTTATACAATAAAACTAATTCTAACAACATTATATAAACAATCAGACGACATTTTTTAGAAAGACTGGTAGGAAAGGATGCACCCCCTTAGTGACAAAACAAACAAAGAGGATGTTTATCTATAGTAATGAAGGCCAGGCATTAATATGTTTCAGTTCAAGCGAGAAACACTCAACCAACCTCACTTCTCTGCTCTTTTTCTCCTTCTGAGGTCTTCTCCTCATTCTCTGAATTTTGGTTCCTGCAATAAAAAAAGTAATCCAATCACTGCTCTGCTAAAATGAGGCAAGAAAAAACCTTGTACTAGACTTTTTCCTCTATCAAACACTCATTTAAGTAAAGAGAATTGATCAGCAATCACGAGCTGTTAAACTCGGCTGTTAAAGTCATTTAGCATTCCAAGTAATCATCTCAGATTCTGTCTCGGTTCTAAAGTGCAAAACCCATGTACCTTTCCTGCCTTCTGTAGACTCGCTCATGTCCTCTGTAACCTCTACCACGGCCTCTACCCCTTCTGGGGCCTCTGGCCCTTGACCTCTCTTCACCTTCGTGTTCTTTGCTTTCCTCCCTCTCTTCACTTGCAGATTCTTCCGCACGAGGGGACTGTCGCCGGCGTCCACGGTAGGGCCTGTTGTAGTAGTTGTTGTATCTTGGTCTGCCTCTCCCTCTTCCACCCCTAGAGTAAAGCAAAACATTAAAATGGTCATTATTGTTCATTAAAACTTCAAAAAATTATCTAAATACTTCTTTGTATTGTCATGTTTGCTTTGAAGTCGATTTTAATTCAATTTTAATATCGGAATTGCTATATGTCGATTACTTTTTCCTTTTCCTGCCCTAAGTTTGGCCTAGAACGTGAAAGCAGCTATGAATTTTTTATTGGGGGCCTAGAGTCACATTATTTCATCCACTCGAATGGCTACAAACTTGCACAAAATGAGTTTTCATTAGATGAATATTCAAAGTGAACTATGAAGACAACTAAAATATAAGCAAAGGTCAAGTTAAGGTCGAGATTATCATGGCTAGGTCAAATTATCACAACAGACAGTTTTATGACGGCAACTATTTTATTCTGATTCAAACTGGTCGAGATGAACGCCAATATTTCTTAGTAATGTTAGATCAAAAGAATCCTCGTCATGAACTTTGCTTCCACTAATTGACTTATGAATTTGCTCCATCGTTTGAGACCAGACAAGCTATTATCATGCTTGTTCATTAGGCAGGCATGTTGGTCATAACCTGTAATTACTAGAAATGAACAGCTTTCACTATAAAAAAATTGTATATACTTCTTCAAGTGTTACTCTTGTTAGGAATGTCCTTTGTCCTTCAATTGACACAAATGTCAACCTACCTATATCTGCGGCCCCTTCCTCTATCCTCTGTTTCTTCAATTTCTCCTCTTTCCTTTTCCTCTTCAACTTCTACCTCATTCTCAGACCTTTCTTCATGGTCATCCTCAGAACTACGTCTGAAGCGCCCTCCCCCACGCCCAAAACGGCCACGTCCACGTCTGTAGTAGCCCCCTCTCCCTCCACGGTAATAACCTCTGCCATATCCACGTCCACGGAAGAAACCAGGGTACCGCGGGTTACGATTTGCTGTTTATCAACAAAACAGAAGCTGCATCATACAGATGTAATTTAAATTTAAAAAAAAACTGTTTTTTAGCTTGTCATATATACAGTGTTTGATCCCATATAAGGGGGTTGGTGAAAAGAACAAGAAAATTCCACTTTGTCTAGATTTTCTAGCATAACGCTAATTATAAGGGTTTTTAAAATATCAAATAAATGCTTAATAAAAAGCAGCTTGTTTGATGCTTCATGGTAAGGTTCATCAGAAATTAGACCAAAATAAAATTCACTTATGCAGGTTTACTTCAGAATAATTTTAAATAAGATTAAGGCCTGTGTAAGAAAGTCTTAAACATTTTGGCAATTAACTTACATTAATAATTGTCAAAACTGGATAGGGCAAGCAAAGAAAATCACTTGCTTGCATCTTGATATTAACCCTTCAGCAAATTCTTACATTGTTGTGCATCTGGATTTTTTTTACAAAGAAACTGTTTCAATTCAACTTACGGGCATACTTGCTTCCTTGGACAGGGGCTCCATCTGGGCCAGTGACATTAGATGCTTCAAACCCCTGAATGAAAAAGAAAAACATTTAGAGCTGACCAGAAATAAATTTACATTCTATATATTTTTAAATATTATAAGACAGCTTTCTGGTTTCTGATAGTTGACTCAGATTAGCGTATATAATTGGGCATCATGAACTCTTAAAGTTTCACCAATAAAAGATATATCATCACAGTCAACTACATGGCAAAAAAACCACAAGGGATATCCATACTTATACTTAACACTAAATGATTAAAAACCTGCATATTTAATGATGTATTTAATAAACATTTCTGCCTTGTGTACAAAACTACACAAAATTCTAAGCTTCGGTGTATATAACAAAACATGACAGTTCTTAGCTGGTACCACCTTTTCTACACTTGGTGGGCTTATCAGGCAACTACCACTGCTTTTTCAATATCAAAGTAATATATGTATTGATATCATTACTTTGAAAGCAGGAATCCATCACCTTACTTAAGAGATGGTCCAGCCTATGCAGCATTTTTGCTTATGGCACATCTTTGTATTTCAATTGGTTAAAATTAGAGGTATTTTGCCTGTTTCTTAAAACTCTGATACAATCTTTCCGTTTCCTACACTAACCTAAAATTGCCTTGAAACAGTCATGAAAATGGCATCTGCTCTTAGCTAAAGAGTCTGAGCCTGCCAAAGAGTCTTGGCTTACCTTGGCTCCTTGAACAACATCAAATTCAACAACTTCACCATCACCAACACTTCGCAAGTACTTCTTAGGATTATTCTTCTTAATAGAAGTCTGTTAAATATGAAGATTTGAAATTTTCATTAACAAAAATTTATCTAAATGTTAAGGTTATTTTACAGAAAATTACTAAAAAATCAAAACTGTTCTACAAACAATCTTTGATGCATAAACTGGGTGAATGTCATTTTATCTTGATTTAAACCAACACAAGGCATGACAGAACATCATGAGATGGCTCAAAACGACAAGATAAAATTGTACATATTGCTGTCATGAACAGGGGGAGGCAATGATGGGCTTCACCCAGTACGTATGACAGCTTAACAATGATGAATTGCAAACTGAGCTTTACTGCTAGAACCTTTTGAAAAAAACCAAAAATAACCAAGTGTTGAGTAACACCCAATCAACTCTGAACTAAAGACTTTGAACTTTCATAGAGGTAGACTGTGTAATTTGATCCCATAAAAATGAATTGCAATGTTTCAGATCAAACCCTTTTATCCTGGTGTAGCCAATGAACAATATACATGAGCAGGGGGATAAAATTACATTAGCACTGGGCTGTCTTCTGAATCTATAAAAATATATGAAATGAAGAAGTTAAATCTTTATTGCCATATGGTCAATATATTATTTTGCCCAATATCTAGTTTTGTCTTCAGACAATCTCTCTTGGTCATCTGAAGACCTATAATATTAGAGCTTTGTGGGTCAACATAAACAGTACACAAGTTTCCAAGGAAAAATTTCTTATAAAAAATGGATTGTATTTACGATCTTCTTGAATTTGTTGTCTATGTGACTGTAAAATTTGGTCAGCAAATTGTATCTTACTTGGCCACATGAAATCATATGCATACAAATTTCGCAAACCCTAGATTGTACAGAACCCTATCATGAGTAATAAGCAAGTGAAAACTACCTGATGAATGAAGATGTCTTCCTTAGTGTCATTTCTAAAAAAAATCATAATAGAAATAATTATCAAAATTTTAAGAACGAATTTTATAGATATATATATAAATTAATAAATTCTTTTTTGGTAATATATATAGATAAATCCTTGTTGTTACTTCCTTCCATCCACTGTCTTGGTCTTTCCTTTTCAGCATATATCCAATTTAGTTGCTTTTTAATTTAACAGTTTCTATGTTGCTCTTGTAAGACAGCCAACACCAGAGAAAGAGCAAATAGATATCTCTTTAGAACTGGGGAGGTATCTGGGTAACCTCTTTATCTTGATGAGATCTAATCATGATATTTTCTTATTTTTACCAGTTAATATTATACAAAATTTGCTAGTTTCTTGGATGTTCCATAAAATGTAAGAGAAGGGGGTTCTTTTGACAGATAAAGTTTTAGGTTCAGGGTTAGGCGTTTGATAAACAAGGCATATAGTTAGCAATTTTAACTTAGGACCCCAGTACTCTCAGATGATGACTGACTTACAATTTTCTGAGGAAGGGCATCAGGAGCTTCTGAAAGACATTACTGGTTACTTGAAAGACATAACATTTCTTTTTAGCTTGGAGAAGAAAGAGACATAATTTTGTAAACACCTTATATAACTTATTTTTTAAATTGTGTCTTTGAGATAATTTTCCTTATAACATAGTTTGGTTTCTATTACTCCTTCTTATTATCTTTGTAATTTTACCGTTATCTCAGGCTCTTGTGAGGCAGTCGAAGCAAGCTGTTTCATCATATTCTTTTATCTTACTGTCTATTCAATTGTCTCAGTTTCCAGTAAACTTTACTTGTTTACACATTTATATACAATATGTAATGTGTAAGGTGGGCTTTATGTAAATATATGGCGATGCAGATCAATAGAAGAACTAGCAGATGAAAATACCTGTTTATGAAGCCATATCCATTTTTTACATTGAACCACTTGACAGTTCCACTCACTTTTGTTGCTAAAAGTTTCAAAATGTAAAATGTACTAAGAGCAGTCCGTTACTTATAGGAACAGCTTGTTAAAAAACAGTGTTTGTAATTATGCTGCACAAGCTGAATAAAATGCCTCTTAGTTTTTATTGTAGGTTATTAAATGTCACATAATTAACAAATATGCAGCAGAGGCAAGAGAAAAAAGCACTTTATAATTCATAATTTCATTTCCATATTTAATGACATCAAACTATTCCTTGTTCTAGTAATCATCATCATCATAGTCATCATCACCTTCCTGTTTTACACACCAGATAGCATTTACAGCTCTGCCTATATGGAATCAAGCACTTTGTGACAAGACAGGTAAACAGAAATTTTAACATATAAATATATTTGCAGAGAATCCTGTTGCCAATTACATATAAACGTATATCACAACTGGCAATATGTGAAAGGTGTCCAGCAGTGCTAAACTTTATATTTAACAGTTCAGAAGGCATAACTTTTCATACAGTTATTTCTCACTCATAGTGCCCTTTAAGAGACTCTTTGTTTTATCCAATACCCATTGTTTAAAAATGAGAGGTATCCTTTTTAACCAGAGTATACATAAACGTCTTAATCCAGCTGACTTTATGCATTGACTCTTTTGTATTTTAGGAAGTACTTACGTTCAACCAATAAGTGAAACAGAAACCGAAACTTTTGAAACAAGAGTTTGCAAGCACGTGCAACTTGGATGACCACGCCGCTAAACGGTAGGCCGCATGTAATGGCTTGAGAGGAAAAAACATTTATTCGCTTGCTTGCAAGGAATAGAAACAACTGTACCCGAGATGGATGTGCTACTATTGTTAAAGAGCTCAAACAGCATATCTGGATACGTACTGGAGAAATAAAAAAACTGGCAAAATAATTCAATTCAAAACTGACCGGCCTACATCAGTGACCAGGCAACGTGCTTAACTTCTCACCTAAAACCTCACCACCAGTTGGCTCACTTGAATTAACCTTGGCTTCTTCTGCAGCTTCAGTGGTAGACGGCATATTGATGGTAAAAGCCTGTCTCCAGCTCTTGTCAGGATGTCAAATAGCCGCTCCCCAGGTCTTTCCCCTCCGTTCCTGTCCTTGATGACTCCAATCCACTCCTCTCTGGACTAATCCGTGCACATTGCATTTATTGAGTACCGAGATGCATTGTGGGTACCCAGGTGTCCCTTGGCATTTAATGTTGCACCTTTCGTGGCAACTGAGTATTTTCCATAGAGATGGTATTTTCATAACAAAGAAGGATGGAAAGGCCTACGTCAATTAGATTAAAATGAAAAAATAATAACTTTATTTCAAGAGCTTCAAATAGTATGAAAGTCTTGTGGAGCATAAAGTATTTTTTAATGCAGGCTTGTAGGACGAAACGGCCCAGCATTACGGTGGTCCATAAATGCCACTCACGAAAATCAAACTGATTCGCAATACAAACAAAAGAGATTCGCATTGAAACAAATCGATTCACCCGGAAAGAAAAACAACTCGCACATAGTTCAAGCGAGTCACACAAAGAAATCTTTTTCGCACAAAATTCAAGCGAGTCGCAGAAAAGAAAACTAATTCGCACAAAAGTCGAGCGTGTTGCGCAGAAAGGAAAAAGACTAGCACAAAAATCAAACTCGACACATATTTTTTAGTTTCAGTTACACGAAATAAAATAAATCGCACGTAAAGCAGAGAAAGTCACACAATTAGAAAATAAGTCGCGCTAATGAGTCACACGTTAGAAAATCGAACTGCGGAAGCATTTTGATGTCGCAAACAACACAACAGTAGCAGATATTTTGTGATGAATTTTCGGAAAAACAACTTTCTCAAGCAGCATTTTTTGTAACGGGTGCCTTTTTGCAAGAATGAAAATCCAAATCGATTTGATCAATCTAACCCCTTTTTCAACGGATTTTGAGCATTTAGAAAGTCGCTTTCTGAGAAAACTGTTATGAAAATCTCTGCAATGTTATTGTACCAGAAATGATAGTATTCATGTACCGGGCTGCTCGTGTTGTATCTGGCAGCAGTTTTGATGCACCGGGCCAACAACTCATAAAGAAGCTTGGCTGGAGGACCAAAATTACTAGTACTGTGAGTCAAATGTCATGGTCTTCGAATCGATACCTAAAGAACTACCATACCTAAAGAAAACAACAATTTACCTTAGAATAAAAGAAACATCTAATACAAAAGTAAGAAAATATAGGAATTATCGCAAGTTACACAATTAACACTACGCAGATAAACACAAAAAGGTTTTCCCCAAAAGATTCCCGTGATTCATAAGTCAGCAATATAAAACCATTTATATATATCAGAATATCCGTATTCTCTTGATTCGACAACCAAATAAAAAGTCGGGAGTTGAAGTTGTAGAAAATTTGGAATAATTTAAAAAATAACATAGAATTTCTAACATTCTGATAGAGGAAACCAGTAAAAATGCAGTTCATCTGCCGCAGCAATATTCAGATAATGGCGATAGGGCATTTTCTATCAGCCCTAGGAATCGAATTCTTTCCAAGTCTATTGGCTACAATCCGAAAGTTGCAGGCGAGGATCCAGAAAATTTCTGACAGGAGCAAATAATGGTGGTCCGGGGGTATAACCCCCGGGAAATTGTTTTTGACCCCGCCCTTGGGATTGGCAGAGATCGTACCTTTTGAAGATGGTAACGCCCTGTACTTATCTTTTTCATTTACGGTCCCCCATCATCATTCTATTCTTCCAACGATGCTGCTACTGCCTCTGAACGTTCAAGCACATAGGATAGATGGAGATGCTTCATGTATCCCGGGTATCAGAGCAATCTCAATCACTGAGGACCTGGTAACCAGGGTATGCTATAGGCCCAAAACCCATTCGAAGCACTGATCTATAAAAAAGAATGGATCGAGCTTCTAATGTGACCAGAGTGTCGCCATCCGAGAAGAGGGCCCCAGAACAGCCCATGCGAGGAGACGACCTTCTCTGTCGCCCCTAGCAATGTTTTCAGCTGCTCTAGCCTTGTTCTTTTTCAGCAATTATACACACAGCATTGCAGCTCTCGCTTATCCATATAGTTGAAGTATTGGTTTTGAGGAATGGCTTCCCGCTATTGTTTGGGGCCCTCTTCCTTTTGAAATTGAACGGGCTTGAAACTTTGGTATTTCAAGTCAATAGGAAGCTCGATCCAGTTTTTTTTATAGATCAGTTATTCGAAAGGCAAAATTGGCTGCAGGGGCAAGCCTTTGTTTATACAAAAGAGGAGGACAACAGCAATTGTTAAAAACAAAGGAAAGTCACTAGGGCTGGAGGAGCAATTGCCCCCCCCCCCCCTCCTAGTTAGTGTGTTAGAAAAGGCCCTGTACAGGCTGAGATTCAGTAGAGTAAAAAAAATTCATTGTTCTCTGATTTCATGTACTGAAGGAATTCGGCAATTAGTTACGCATAAAGCCATGTTTTAAACTAATGCTTCATAACAGTAATATACAGAGCTTTAGAAACAATGAAAATGATTTTTACAAAATACAAATTGCTAAGCAACGCTTTGAAAGCAGATTTAATTCAGTTTACAGCAAAACGATGTTTCGTATTTATGCTTAAACGTCATAAACTTTCGAGTCATAAACAGCATATTAAATTTCAGGCAAATTACGAAAGTATAAAGCAATAATAAAATTATGTTTAACATTGATTATCATAACTGGACAATACATTGAAAAAAGAGCAATTCTCAGCTAGATAATTATTAGGTTGGACAAAACTTTAACAATTGTAAGCATGGTTGGAAAAAAGGGACCTCAGTATAGGGCAATCTACAATTAACCAATAGTGTATTTAGACGTCTACAGCATTCATGCAATGGTTCGGAGTGTTTATCTTGAGTGGAGACTTGGTTTGCTAAGAAAAATTGAGCTTTGGTGAATGAATTTATTTACCAAGACTTAGCTTTTGACTTATCATTGTGACAGCTTTGAGTTATCAAGCAATTGTTTGCTGTTTGATTAGAAAAGGGGGAATTACTATCTTAAAATTGCCTTCGTTCATCAAAAATACACTTTATGATACAACCAAGATGATTTGGTGTTGCAAATGAGTATATTTTATGGAGAAATAGTACATTTTATATTTGGTATTCAAAATCAAAACATTATACGATCAAAGAAAAGGCTGCATGTTATCGAACTGTGATTTCATCACGGCCTTAAATCTTTAAGATAAACACTCATAATAGTTACTAAAGAAATGTTTAGATCAAATCAAAATTGTATTTGCGATTTTATCAACTGTTTTACATATTTCTGAGTACGCCATAGAATATAAATGTATACTTTAAATTCATTATCAAGATAGTCAACTACATATTCATTTCAAAATCTAAATTTGATGGCTTAAAGTACAATTTATCAATATGAAATTGCAGGAGTTCCTAATCAAAAGATACCTTTATCCGAGGGGCTAATCGCACCAAGAGTGTCTCGTATACCTTTGGTAGAAATTCTATTGTTTTATCTTAAAATCCTTTTATTTTCGCAGACATCTGGTTTGCAATTTGCAAGAGTGATTTGCCCTTGGTATATATCATTGAGCAGATTGCTAATCTGTAATGCATGAATTTTCAATTTTCGCAAGGCGAATTCTGTTTAAAGCTTTCCCTGAGGCTGACGTTTCGTTCTTGCTGTCTTGAGTCAAAAATAAAAGGGGACACATAATACAAGGATGGGATGGGAGATTATTGAAAGGTACGCGGGCTTGATGTCAGGCATGCAAAAAGCTACTGACAATGTAAACAACAGCCTGATATTCTTTACTAGAAAACTTCCAAATGGGATCAAAGGACTTTAAAATGGGATCAATGACGCATACTGCAAAGAACGACGATCCATGAGACATTGCATTGCACTGACTGAATCCCATATATGGCTTTTCTCATAGACATAGAAACCCCATCCACAATTAACTGCAAAATTCACCAAAAATAACAACTTGCTGTTCGCAAGCAGAAAATTTGAGAGTTCGCCAATCTATGTACTTTGTTCGACAGAAAAGTCAAGGGATTGAATTCAACAAGAATCTCGAACCCTCTGGTTGAAACTCTACTGATTATCCTGCAAGCTGTGCATTACAAACTATCTCTTACAAAACGATACCGACATTTTAACTACGACACGCGGCTGTGGGACACCTACAATTCTGTAATCACAAAATACCGAAACCTTCGTCACGCATTATTATTCTGGCTTTTCCTTTGCATCTTCTCCATCTTCTTTGGTGCTTTCTGCCTCTTCCACTTTATTGCAAGGTGCGTCATTATCTTTTGTTTCACTTTCTTTCTCTCCAACTTCTTCCTTGTCATCCGTCCCAGCTTGTGAGCCCTCTCCTGGTGCTTTCGTATCCTCGTTGGGTGGATCTTCTGCAGTGTTTACCTCCACATCAGCTGGAGCATCGTTAACTGGCTCCTCTGTCTTTTCTGGTTCCTGGTCTGTTTTTGATTCTGGTTCTGAAACAGCCTCCACCACTTGGGGCTTTTGTGGTTCTTCTATAACTCCGGATTCCTCAGCTGACACATCTACTGTTGCTGGCGTTTCTGCTGGCGTTTCTGCTGGCGTTTCTGCTGGCGTTTCTGCTGGCGTTTCTGCTGGCCCTTCCGCTTTGGTTTCAGTTGGCGTTTCTTCTACAGGTTGTGCTTTTTGAGATTCCTCTGATGATTCCGTTTTCCCTTCTGATTCTCCAGTAGCTCTTTCTTCTGCCGCCTCCCCTTCACCGCTACCCTTCTCCGATGCTGTTTCTTCAGTTTTATTTTCGACACTTTCACCAACTTCTTGCTTGGTATCGGTCACTCCACCAACTGCTCCTTCTGCTCCGCCATCACCAGCACCTTCTCCAGCTGAACTTATCCCCAGTGCCTTGAGGACGTCGGCAGTATTTGTGTGATCACCTGGATTCTTTTGCTTGTGAACCAAGAGAACTTTTTCCCCACCCTTTTCAACAACAAGGGTCCCACCAAGCTGCATTCCATCTCCTTTCATGTTTCCTGTTATTCCCATTGCGTTGCTCTAAGGAAGGCACAAATATTTATAAAATAATGCTGTACGTTGCTCAAAGTAAAATTTATAAGCAGCTTTTTAGTACCCATAATTCCGCACATGTCTGAAAAAAATTGCTCATAATTCCGCAAACATGATGAAAACTATACCAATAATTTAGGCAAATAGCATTTCAAAACATAATGAAAAATCACCAAACGAATTTTCAACGTTTTCCAAAATGGTACCCATAATTCTGCATGTTTCTTCAAATGGTACCTAAAATTCGGCATGTTTCTTCAAATGGTACCCATAATTCCACACATATTTCAAAAACTGATACCAATAATCTGCACTTTTCAAGAAAAAGGTACCCTTAAATAATGGGACGTCCCCGTACCTCGAAACAGCGCCAATTTAAGTGCGGTTTTTTCCACATTTTGTAGTCTTGGAAATCCAAAATGTGGTCTTGGAAAGTCAAAATTGTGGAATGGGTTTTTTCAATTTAGCTTTATTTTTGTTATGTTTTTCTGTTGACAGAGTTTTGAAACTTTATAACATAACAGAACAGTACAAGACATCCATGAATCGTAGCGCAAGTTCCTTGGTCCAGAGTAATCTGGTCCAACAAGAGCGAAAAATGTTACTGCCAATCACCTTTTTGCTCTCAAATGGTGTAAAAGCCAATCAGAGCTTGTAAAAGACCCCTGAATCTAGCGACAATAACAACTATTGAAATTGATCAGCTTACTCTAAGGCCCCCAATAAATGAACTCCCCCCATTATTAATTTTTTAAAAATCTTATAGCCTGCTCTTATTAGAACCCCCTGCTTTCTAAATTTTTTGGCTCAGCGTGTCCTTCAATATTCAAATAAGTATGAATAACAGAGCAATGTTAACCTTTAACTACTGTTCCTGTCGGAGTCCATAAAGAATAGGTTATAATAGAAACATATTTGTAATCGTGTTATGTTGAATATTTTTGTTTTACACGAATAAAGAAAAACGCTTTCTACGGCAACGGTCGATATTTTGAAATTCCATGCTTCATATATAGCCTTCTTTTCTTAAAGTGTGGTCTTGGAAAACTTCCATAAAATAGGCCCTGCCTCGAAACGTATCGAGCAACCACCCTTAGTCCCAGACAAAAGCAAGCACGTTATGGCTGACATTTTATAAGAATAAATGAGTTCCAGTACGATCATTTGGGTGTTTATTCCCCAGTCTCTGAAAATTTGCGCGACGTTATATAAACAGAAGCACCCCGTCTTTCGTGTATTACAATTCGAGAGAGAAAAAGACAAAGTACGGACAGTATCAAAAGCAAAAAAGAAAGAAATGAGACTTAACTAAAAATTATTAAATCCGACACATTTCTGAAAAGGCCCCCAACTGATAAACCCTTAAATATGGGGTTAGCGTTAATGTCAATGGGGTTAGCGTCACCAACAATTTACGTTGGAAACAACAAAACCTACCTTTGCATTTGCCCGCCGTGTCTCTGACGCAAGCAGCGCCCCAGCAACAGACAGCATGTTATAACTATAATAAAATAAGTACAATCAGTCGGGATCAGCAATATGTCTCAGGTGTATAAGGAAACAGATGAGTTCGGTACTTTACGTTAATTAATCATGAATAATCAAATTTTGTTAATTTACCGTTTAAATTGTTGCGCCTTGAAAAGCTGTTTGCCTTCGTCCACGTATAGATCTGGAAAAAATCGAAACTTTTAGTAAAACTGTCAACTACGGTGGCCCATAAGTGCCACACACTTAAACTTAAACCGATTCACATACAAACAAAACTGATTGACATTAAAATAAACCGATTCACGCGTAAAGAAAAACCACTCGCACAAAATTCAAGCGATTCGCACAAAAATAATTCTGATTTGCACAAAAAGAATTCTGATTCGCACAAAATTTGAACTCGTCACGCATATTAATTTGAGTGCCAGATTCGATAATTTCAAAGTGCTCGCTCACAGGCAAAATACGGCATGCAATAAAATTACTTTACTCTGCTTTTTTAAAAAGCAACATAAAAAATGCAAGCATTCAGATGTGACCAGTAATATAATGATAAAAACCACTTTTCCTCCTTCTTTCAAATCTGGAAAGTCAGATAACACAATTATGCCATGGCGCCCCCCCCCACAATATTTTCGGAGACAATGATTCTTGTTTTAAAACAATGAATAAATGGGATGTCATCTTATCAAAACAGTAGGCTTGCCCCCCCCCCCATATTTTCCCCAGTGTCCGCCACTGCTTATATGTGACTAGGATTTTTGTTGGAAAAATTGTCTCACATTGTACTTAAAAACAAAACAAACAAAATCATCGTAAAAAATTAATTTGTACCTTTACTTATTGCTTTGATCTTGTAATATCTTATTATAATACATCTTTTTACAAGTTTAAAATGTGCATTACGTTGTATGTACATATCTGCAGCTTTTGTTTCCACTCCTAGCAGCACAGGTATCGATTTAAAAACGCTTTTAGCTAGAGTCTCTAACAGAGATGCTTCGCGACTCAGAAGCTCTGATGACTAAACAACAGGCAAAACCACTTTTTGAAAGAACTTCAAAAGAAAATCTAAAAAGCTTAAGCTTATAAAAGTGCGTATGCCACATTGTTTGAAATCTGGTATTGCCCTGTGGAAAATTGTCTGTAACATCCCATAATCTGGGAGATGTGGGTGGTACTCGGCTCATTTCGTGACCATTGTTTTGTCATTGCCACAATGGAGGGATCAGAGAAAATTGTACAGTGCTTTCAACGTGAGATTAAGCTAGTTATGTTCGTTAAACATACGCGATCCGTGATTGGCCAAGACATCCCTTGCCTATTAAGCTTAGAGAGCTAAACCACCAAAGTTGGTTTACACGATCACTTCACGGTTCTGTCTTCCTGTTGTACCTTTTTATAAAACCCTGGATACATAGTTTCTATTAAATCTAAATAGTTTCGTGTATAGAAACAATTTCTGTTATAGATCAAACCTCCTTTGAAGAAACCTCCGCTGACAAATTCTTCAACACCAAGCTTTTCCAGGCCAATACCTGCAAGCCCTATGCCATGGGCGTCGAGTTGAGGCTTTATTTCGCTCACCTCGGTTGCCCATAGCCGGCATAATTTTCATCCAAATCTTCTTAAAAAGACTATCACAACAGAATTATTCTCCCACAATGAAGATAATGGAACATTCTGCAAGAAAAAAAAGGTGGAATCAATTTTGATCGTTTTCTTAATCTACTGTTGGATTTATATTTCATCTATATTTTAGATTTTTCAAATACAAAAAATGCGGAGTCATTGAAGACACGGTACGTTTGTCTACCACATAAACAAAAGAAATATGAAAATAACCAGCATCAGCAACTCATACAGCAAACAAAACTCCTTCCCGTCTAATCTGCTAATTTTTATATATAATCTCCTAGTGTAGGACAGAGTATTATAATTATAGAAACATCTTTTAAAATGTGAACCGCGCAATGTGTTCACGTTTTTCTGATTGGCCTTTTTCGCTCCATAACTGGGTATGTATTTTCCATCTTGTTCTTTTGGGACCTTTTTCGGACGTTTTATACTTTGAGGAGTGTCAAACGAACAAGCTTTTAGAATCATTGTAAAATGTTTGGCTTTTTCAAAGCCATTTTAAAAAACATCTCTCCACAAAAATCCATTCTGAAATAAATATTGCATGGTCCTTTAAGATTGGTTAAGAGAATTATTTAATCTGACTCTAGCATGTAATACGTTCGGAAGAGAAAGGTTTTATAGCCAGAAAGCTTCATAATTCGGAAGGTTTGCTTTACTGATGAACTTTTCATGTACATAAAAATGAAGACACATCCTGGAAACAGGCCTACTATGATTCCAAAACTTGTGCTTGGTCATTGCTGCACCTTTCCCTGATTGGATGTTGATTCTGACAGCCCCTAGGCCCCTTTCTTACATCACCTTATGTAACAAGAAAGGGTGAAAACCATCCAAAATGAAAGAATTCCTGAGATGGGGGTCCTCTTTGAACAAATTGAACGATCCAGACATTTTTCCATCCCCCCCTCCCCCAACATCCTATGCAAGCTGAAATTATTTGCCCCTAGTCAATTTCAAGATCACATTTAAGCATGAAATCCCACACCATTCCAGTTCCTTTTGGTACCCCTGCCAAATTTACCAGCTATCTCCCGTGAATAAAGTGTGGTTTGTAACACAGGGCTATTGTCCTCATGCTCTTTGTGAAAGACACAATTTCTAATCCACAAAACTTCAGTTCCAATTGTCCTACTTTTACTGTTTCAAGAAAATAACAAATTATTTAATTTTTGAATAAAATTCAATTCACATGACCAATGATGAAGAAAAGATGACTCCCACTAGGAAAAAGAAATTAGGTTGCCTGTCTAAGTCATCTAAATTTTATCTTTATTGTGAGGTGATTTCTAAAAACTTTAACAAGGGACAATTTATAAAAGGGTGCAGTTTTCTTGTGCTTAAGCAAGCCAATGCTTTTCAGGACAGATTCTCACAACCAATGTTTTTAAAGACATAAATAGTGACACAACATTTATTTGCAATTTAGCTTTGGGAGACCATGAATTATTGTTTAGGGGGCTGAGCCACCCCCTTCAAGATGCAGAAAAATGTAGCCTGCGTGCAGACTCTTGACAAAATTGAAAATAGGAGAAAAAGTAGAGTCTGCCAAGCCAAGCTGATTTTCTTGTTCACAGGTTCCTCAAAATCGGGGAACTGAATTTGATTGGTTGGGGGAATTTCAATTGTTTTTTGTCAGTTTTCAAAGAGGCACCTTCAAGCAGAAGTATAAATGAATGGTATCAGGATAAAAGAATAGGTCTGTTTGTTCTATTGAACAACTAAAATTACAGAAAAACATTGCATGCTAATGGAGTTGTTGTTCTAGTGCTTAGAATAAAATGTTGTGGCTCTGTTGCGCAGACACTACTTTATCTCCTCTTTTAAATTTCCAAGTCTGCAGGCAGGCTAGAAAAATGTTGACAAGAGTGGCTCTGTCTGCCTCTTGCACCTCCTTAGAAATCTCCATTTTCTTTATCTGACTGCAAACACATTTTTAATGATATTCACTCAGTTACCAGGTGCTGTATATTTTTTCACCTAATGCATACATGAAATGCCATTCATAGCCTACCTTTGCTCCTGAAACGCTGAAAATGAGGTTCTGAGCAATCTTGGAGAGATCCATTGCTTTTTTTGCAATGCAACCTGAAGTAAGAGATTATTAAAACATTATGCTCCTAATATTTGCAAGCACAAAGGCAAAGAGATGAAAAAATAAACATTTTTGGATGCTTTGAAGACTGAAAAAGATCTTTAAGAAGCAGGGGGCATCTGAGGGCTGCAGCCCCCAACATTTTGTAAAACAAGGTTTAATACCAAATAAGTGTTAAGTGGAAAGTAAATAAAACCTGTTGTTGCCTAGTCCCCATTATATAAACTTTGCATTGACATTATAAGTCTCCAACCCCAACAATCAAAGAGTGACATACTGTAATTGAGTAGACTTGGAAATTGAGGGAAAAGGGCAAAAAATATCAGAAAACTCATCATATAGAAAACATGACACATAACACAACCTATTGAACTTCAAAACATCAATTTCTGATACAAAATTTGTGATGATGAGGGCAGCATTTAAACCAATATATAGTTGTGGCACAGAGAAAATTCTGTTTGCACCAATTACTTTGCAGTTAAAGGCTTGACCCCTCAAAGGCAGTATACATTTATTCGAACTTCTAGGTAAAATTGATGCTTCCTATTAACCAAGAAAACAATCATTTTGATAAAACTTTTTGCTTTTTGCCTTTTAAATGTTCCCTATGGCAATGTTTCTGGCAAAATCTTCCTGCTTTTCGTTTAAAAATATTTATTTTAAAAATTTTCAAAAATATTTAAAATTTTTTAGCTTTTGCAGGTCTGAGGCTGGTGGGGGCAACAAAACGTTCAAGTATCAGATATATTGAAATGGAATTTTTCTTTAAAATATGCCTAGCAACATTTGAAGTTTCTTGTGGTCCTGGCTGCTTATATAAGGAGTATTTATAGCAAATAAGCCAAGTGTTAACTCTATAAGAAAATCTAGTTAAATTCGTATATCTTAATGTTTCAATGTCAGAGACCCTAAAAAACATGGGAATAGGGGTCATTTAATACAAATATTTTTGGCATTACAGGCAGAGTAAAAACTTTATCAGGAATTTTGAGGACTACTGGATAAAGAGCCGTGAAATAGCACTTTTAAACAGTTTTGCATATCAATTACTGCGCCTAGGCTAAAATGCCAAGTCTAAGCAGCCTATTAAGTAAATGCTTAGGCCAATATGATTTATGCAACAACCTGAAAACAGCATCCTTTGAGGTTTTTTTAACTGGTAAAAACATAATTAGGGATATTTTTAAATTCGTGAATTTATTTTAAAATATTATACAAACCTCACACCTCGGTATCTAATGTCAATACTTCCGCAACTGTTTCTCCACGGGGCGTGTCTCACCTCGTGATTCTGTTGTTGCGGATATTGGAATCGATCTCGCGGGATAGCGCAGCACCAGTATAAATGCAAAATTGGGTGTCCAAATACAGTAAATCCTCGAATTCCCCCCCCCTCGAAAAAGCCCCCTTGAATAAGCCCCCACCCTAGAACTACAAATTTTAAATAAGCCCTCCCCTCGAATAAGTCCCCACTGATACCGTAAATTCTCGAATTAGACCTCTCTATTTGATGATTTTTGCCATCTGAGGTTGCCTATGGCGTTTTATTGAATTACCATAAGAAATTCATACGTTTGGTAGTAATTTGCTAAATGCTCATAAAGAAATTCCTACTAAAATAAATGAGGTATTTTAATAATGTCTTCTTAATGTCTACAACAATTTCATAAGCCCCCCCCCCCCACCCCCATACATATTTTTGCGCATATGTTTTCGTTTTAATAAACAATTGCAGTTATAGCAGCAGCAACAGCACATTCCTCATCAGAGTGCATGAAGAAATGAGGGGGCGCTTTAAAAACTTATTCATTCTAATGGATAAATGTAAACAGAGAATTTTTTTATTTAACTGGACCGTTCATTTAACTGAATCCATTTAAATGCATACACGTATTTTCATTTTTTAATAAGAATCCAAGGTCCAGTGCTGGTAGGCAGTTTCTTAAATTTTCTTGCTATTTTGATGTCAAAAGTTTCTTACATGTTTCTTGAATTTCTCAGGTAATAAATTTTTTAAACGTGCTTCCAAGGTAAAGTAAATAGTTCACTCACATTCAGAGATGAACTAACAAAGTGATCAAGGAGTTTTGTTTTCCTAGAATGATTAACTCTGTTGAGATCTGTAAACAGTAAAGAAAGCTCATTGAACTTCATCAATGTTAAGTTGAAGTCAAAACAAATTTTTAAATGGAAACTTCTTGAGTGTGTAATTTACTGAGAATGAATTCCAACTACATGTCAAGTGTATTGTTGCAATATATAGCGATGTTCAATGTCAAGACTGTTTTAAGTGTCAACTCGGAAAATTAGAACGGCAAATTATAAAAGTTGCTTAGCTTTTTTCAATTTGGGTAGGGTTGTTTCTCAACTTTCGAAAAATTGAGCCGTTTCTTATAACCTTTTTCTTATAAAAAGAGTGAGTATAGGTTATTTCAGCCTTTATCAGTGGCGGTTTTAAGGGGGGTCCAGGGGGGCCATGGCCCCAGGCGCCAGACCCCACGCTTATGACGGCCAAAAGTATTAATTTCAAGGTATTAATAGTCGGAGACTCTAATTTAAGAAATGTCAAAGGGGAGAAGCTCACTAATGATTACAGAGACGTGGAAGTGCGATTTAAATCAGGAATGAAAATATGATAAAATGCTATTCCGTAAGGACCTAGACAAGATTGTCTGGGCAAATATCCTTAGTCCACTTGATAATGATCCTGTTGGTATGGCAGCCACGTTTCAGGAGATTTTCGAATCAATCCGAAATCTTCATGCACCAGTAAGAAAGAAGAGGGTTCGTAGCCAATTTGCTCCTTGGTTCTGTTTCTCTCAAAAATCTAATGATAAAAAGGGATATACTAAAACAAGAAGCTGAGAAATCACCTGAAAATTGGTCTGCTTATAAAAGATTGCGTAATCAAGTAACAAGAGAGATGCGCAGCGCAATAACAGATTATTATCAAGGCCTAATCAATGAAAATGTAGAAAATCCAAAGAAAATGTGGAATACCATAAACAAAGTACTTGACAAAAATCAGCATTCAGTTAAACTTTCCAGTGTTGAAGTGAATGGTAAATGTCTCACTCGAGAGAAGGATATTCTAGAGGCACTAAACAAGCATTTTGTTTCAGTTGGTCCAAATTTGGCTGACAAAATTATTTCTAAGCCAGGTGACGATTTCCTTCAGAACATCAAACCAGTACAAAAAGAAATGGAATTGAAAACAATCGATGATGCTTTTATACTGAATGCAATCAAACAGCTAAAAAATGGAAAAGCAGCCGTTCCAGACAAGGTACCCATAACAGTTGTCAAAAATGTGGCAGACCTTTTGTCAAAGCCTTTGTCGATGATATTCAATTCATCCCTAACAAACGGTAAATTCCCAGACATTTGGAAACTTGCAAGAGTAAGTCATATATTTGAATCGGGTTCCAAAAAAGATGTAAACAATTATAGGCTAATTTCAGTTATTTCAATTTTTCCTAGAATTCTGGAGAGGATAGTTCACGATCAGTTATTTGACTTTCTTCTTGAAAATAATGTTATCACCAAGAATCAATCGGCTTTTCGTAAACTGTGCTCAACAATAACATCTTTAATTAATATGCAGTACCGGTAACTGGTATGAAAATATCGATTCCTTAAAATTGAACTTGACTATCTTTTTTGACCTAAGAAAAGCATTTGATACTGTTGACCACTCAATAATGTTAAGAAAGTTGGGTAGATACGGTATAAGAAACACATCTGGGAATTTGGATTAAATCCTACTTAGAGCAGCGGGAACAATTTTGTTCAGTTAGCGGTCAGAGATCAATGACAAGCGAGATAATTTGTGGTATACCTCAGGGCTCCTGCTTAGGCCCTCTCTTTTTTATAGTATACCTGAATGACCTTGAACAATGTTTGAAATATTCACAAGCTAGTATCTATGCTGATGATACAAATGTCACGATCACATCGAATGATGTCGAAGAGCTGGTCTTCGAGGCACAGCAGGAATTACTAAACCTCTCGGAGTGGATGAGAATAAATAAGTTACGTCCTTACCCTGAAAAGACTGAATATATGATAATAGGTCATTCTCGTAAAATAAATGCATTAAATATCTCGATTGCGCTCAAACTGAACGGCGCTGATATTAAGCGTGTCACAAAGACTAAATCTCTAGGAGTAATTGTAGACTAGAAATAGCTCTTGCTAGTACTGCCCGCAAACAATCAGTTCCTTGATAATGATTGTTTTGAAAATTTAGGTCAGGATATTCGAAGAAGATTCCATCTTGGGTTTTCACAATTTTATAAAAACAGCTGCTCTAGTTGATGCTAAACTATTCTTTTTATCAAGAATTTTTGGTGTTCAGTTTGCCTTTGATTTAAGTCCAACGCCCTTTTGAAAATCATGAAGTTTTTCTAGGGTTTGACATTTATTTTTCGTTTTCGTGAAGCAAAGACGTATGAAAATGGACACGTGATAGAACGGGTACAGCTAAAATAGATTGCGATAAAGGATTCGTACAGCGATGTACAGGCGATAATCACGACAATCATAACTTTTGCTCGTACGGTGTCGAGTTTTTGGGAGAAAGGTGTGGCATTCGACTGGTTTTGATTCCCAAAACTTCGAATCAAAACTTCCATCCATTGCGGAGAACCGAGCTGTGATGCAGCACCGTTTTCGTGCCAAAAAAACCGAAGGCCTTTAACAGAGTCTTGGCAGAGCAACGCTCCGAAGATAATTCCCTTCCGCAAAAAGAGGTGGCGGTTAACGACCTCCTCGACAAAGCCGATTGATTGACAATGAAATTGATTGACAGTTGTCATGGCAGCAGAAAAGTGACAAAATCTGCTGACAAAGTGCTGACATTATGAACTGAAGCTTCCATATGCTACTTATACGCGGGGCAGACTATAAGCCCTTCACTCGCGCGCTATCGCGCGCGAGTTGCGGGCAATAAAACCTAAATTGGGACGAGCAATACAAAGTTATAAAAAGAAAAGTTTGTGGTGTACTTAGGTCACTAAATATGTTAGAAAATATAATTCCCCAAAAAGAACTTTGCAGTGTCTACTACGCCACTGTCGAAAGTCACCTACGGTATGCTAACGTTATTTGGGGCAGCCCAAAAACTAAACTTGATACCCTCCAACGTCCGCAGGACCGCGCTCGGTCAATAATTGAAAGCGCCAAATTAAAGGAAAACTGAACAGACTGATTGGAAGACTGGTTGAGCGTTGAAAATCTCATTCGACTCGATCGATCGGTCATGACGTATAAGATTATGAAGAAATTAAGCCCAGAAGCCTTAGGGATAAGTTTCAGCAAAGATCCTCGCAATCAAACTATGCAACAAGGTACTGTAGGGATCTGAATATTCCTAGAACAAATACAGAGCATGTGAAGAAAAGTTTTAATTACTCTGCTCTTAAAGCCTGGAACGACGTTCCAATTGATATTAGAGAACTCCCGATTATTTGTCGCTTTAAAAAACAATCAAAGGAGTACTTGAAGAGCTGACAGATTCGTCTATTTAAACACGACCCCCTGGAAGAACAGCATTTTAGATTGAAATTATATCTTTTTTTTAATTGGACAAATGTATTTATACTTAATTGATATTGTATTAAGGTAGCTGAAGGGTTGAATCGTGTAAAAATAAATGTTATTATTATTATTATATAAAAAGATGGAAATTGTAAAGAACAAGGGCCCCGCAGTTGTTTTTGGCCCTGGGCCCCGCAGTCGCTAAAACCGCCAGTGGCTTTTAGTAAACTTGGATTTTGTTGTGACGGTCCCCATCCCTTTCAACAGGATACACGTATTACAAATTTGGGCGGAGGCTAGATTTTAGAAGCAATGCCTGTACAGGGCCGCCGGACGCAGGTTTGAACAGGGGGGGGGGCAAAACGAATAAAAAGGGCACGAATATTTTTTTCCCGAAACATTGGTAAGTGCCAAAAATGGTACCTATTTCACGGTAATTTAGTCATTTATGAAAATAATGACACACGTTGGATATAGTTAATCCAACCCAAAATATGAACTGAATGCAATTTTTGAAATTTTAGTCTCTACATACTTCTAAGCGAGTTCCAGTCCCTATCTCTTTCTACACGAAGTTTCAGTCCTATTCGAAAAATGATTTTAATTTTCTTACTTATGTATTTAAGCAATTTAGTCCCCCTTAGTATTCACACCCTCCCATCCCCACTTAAACGCAAATTTGTTCGCCTCCATGGAATATTTTTTAAAAGCTATAAATTTTATAGTTAAGTCATCTTCACACAATCGGCTGAAGGTGCGGGCACATTCTTCACTGCCATAGCAAATTCAATTTGTAACATTGATTAGGTTTATCTCATCAAT